AGCAAAATGAGCTACAGCAGCTCCTGGCAGGCCAAGACAAGCCCAGGCAAAGCCTGGCAGAGCCTCATGTAATGCAGAGCTTGTGGCCTCTTACCGGCAGTGGCAGCACCATGACAAGGCTGAGGTAGATGATGTGATGGTGACAGCCATTCCCGCTTCTGTTTCATTTTTCCAGCATCTTTTTCCAGTGTATGATACGCAGTTTCTCTGAAAGAAACTCCATCTCCTGTTTCCAAGATGGTCTTTTTGCTGCTTTCAGTTTCAGCCAAACTCAAGGACTACAGCGCATCATCGCTGGACAGTCTGGAGCAGGTGCTGTAATGAAAGACAGCAGCAGTCAGAAGAGTGCTCCTAAAGAGCAGTTCTGCCTATGTGATGAGGCTTCCTACCCTAAAAATGAGCTTTTATTTGAAGACCAGACACAGGGTGCTGTGTCTGGGCAATGTTTATTTTTACAAACCCTCTCAGCAGCTGCCTTCCTACAATACAACGCTGGGGTATCTGCCAGTTTGCCCAAGGAGCCATTTCTTCCCTCAGCTTGTCAAAGCAGTGTGCCATAGATCCCAGCCTAGCCTGGCCCCTCAAAGTGTAAAAGCACAACATGCTCTATCCACAGAAATTGTAGCAGCATCTGTGCTTGCATCATGGCTGGAGAGCTACTGAGCTGCTCTGTCAGCCTTGCCAGTGTGGCAGGAGCATCAGCATTTGCCTGCCTGACTGCAATCTGGCATTTTGTTTCAAAATGTTTTGATGGTTTGCTCAAGTTGCCTCAGTTGGACTCCCTTAGAACAGGGTCTTGGTTTTAACTCTCCAGCAGGGGATATTGGATGTTTAGAAGGGAAACCTGTTCCACGACTGGTGCTGTGGGTAGCTGATGGGTAATCAGCCATGGCTCTGGTCTACCCTCCCTTTTGTAGGGAGTGTGTTGTAGGGAGTGTGTGGAGAAATTACTGTTGGCACCATCTTCCTCAGTCATCTTTAAAGCCCTTCCTAGCTCCTGGTGAAGTTAGCACAGCTCAGACTCTGGTTTTCCCCAGGTGTGCTGGGTGGTGGCAGGCTCTGGCATACCTTGGGAGCACAGAGCTATGTGGGATGCAACCACAAGCACTGGCAGTGGGTATTTTGCTTCTCCTCATGCCTCTGCAGTCCCCAGGGCAATAGTAGGGATTGGAAGGTCATTACCAGAAGAAAGCTCGTCGCCAACCCTGCTCCTTTGGTTGAAAGTGCAGAGCTTCTGTTGCCCTGAAAAGCAAGCAGTCTTTTGTTTTGTTTCCTCTTCACATTTACCTTTCATTATCTGTGTTGTCCCACACCAGTGTGGCACTGAAATGAGCTCCAGGACAATGTTGTGGTGACCAAAGCTTTGGGAGCCATACAGTGGATGATGTCTCACCAGGCCCATGGATGGAAAACCAGGGCAGGCTGAGGTGTGACCACCCAAACTTCCAGGGCTTGTAACCACATTCATGGCCTGAGTTACAGCCATCAGATGTTAGAACTCCAAATTAATGAGTTAAAAACCAAACAAACAAACAAACAAAAAAAACCCTCAGGTGCTCTTCTGTTTGCCTGCTGTTATCTCAGTTGGAGCTTGTATTGAAGGATTTAAAGCATTTTTTTATCAGGTGGGCCCAATTCTCCCATGTCACCACAAACAGTGAGAGAGCCCTTAACTGGGACTCAGGAAAGGATATGTAAAGGGATTTCCACCTTGGTAAACTGCTTGTTTTGTGTCAGGCCTTGTGGATGGTGTAACATTTTCTGCCATTACCTGGATGTACTGATCCAGGCTGCCCTCTCTGCTGGGGAAGGTGACCTGGCAGGACATGGTGGTGCCCCATGTCTTCCTCGAAAAGCTTGCAGAGGGATCAAGAGGCAGCATATCTCAGTTCTCAAAAGCCAGATTTCTTGGGGGTCTGGGATGGGATAAGCACTTCAAATTGAGATTTATCTCCTAAGCAGTTAACTCTTCCCTCTCCTTGTCAGAATAGCCCTGGAAATGGGTGTAGTTGCTTTTTGGGGCTTTGTTTTGGTTTAGGGGTTTTTTTTGTTTGTTTTTTGAGGTTCTTTTTTTAATTTGGACAAAAATTATTTACTGTTTCATTAGTATTTGTATGTAGAGTTGTGCTGACATATATTGACAGATCTAATGTGGTAGTAAAAGAGCAAGGAAGGACAGGCTAACTTAGGATTTGTGCCCTTAACTGGGTTGCCTGTTGGGTCTGGGGTTGGCTTATTTGTTCACTATACAAACTATTCAATTACTATATCTATTGTACAGTGTAACTTAGTGACAAGTGGCTGTAAATGTGGAAGAAATCAGTGTAACATTAAGGATGATCTGACAAGGGTTTTCTGCAAGATCTGAGAAGTCTAGAAAACAGCAGCCTCTCAAATCTCCTACCTCCAAGTAGGCTGTTGCCTGTTCTTACATAGTGCAAGACATGCCTCTCTTCATTTCACAGTTACCTTGGTAAAATTAGTCTGCCAAAGGTTAAGCAGAATATGTTTTCTTCTATTATTCCTTCTGTTTTCTTGTTGGTTTTCCAAGCTCATCTACCCTATTTTCCTTTTTCAAAGACATTACTGTGAATGTATAGCCAAGGCTATAAATACTTTTTCTTCAAAATGGTTCCCTTCACAGTCCTCATGACAGAAATTAAACCCTTCAATGTCTTTTAGTTATTCACAGTGTCAGCTAGGAGAAGCCTTACAAAAGCCATGTGCCACTTCCCACTGCACACAAGAATTTGGGTGTCCTGTAACTGAATGGCTGCCACTTAGTGCTGGAAGTGAAAAAAGGCCCCTGGAGCACCAGGATTCTCATGAGCTCTTTGAAATTACAGAGTAGGAAACAGAAAAAGGAGGCTCTGGAGAAGCAGCAGATGAATTTATGAAGCCTGGAGACCTGGAAAATGAGCTCTGCATCCCAGAGCATGAGTGATAGGACAGTGCCAGTAGACAAGCACGAAGAGCCAGTGAGACAATTCTCCTCGAGGAAGTTGTGGTAATGAGGGACAGAGCAGATGCTGAAGTACAAAAGCTGCACACCTTGGAGCTGAGTGCCTGAGTGTCTTAGTTTAGGGGACACTGAGGAAGCAGCCTGGCCCCCTGTCCTGCAGCAATAATCCCTCCCATTGCAGCCAGGACTCCTTTGGTCATTGCTTCTGACAGCAGCCTTTGATGCTGATCTTCCTGCAATTTTTATTGCAATGATGTCAAAACACAGACCAAGCCCAGAACAGCAGTAGGGAAGGAGATGGGAAAAGTGAAGTCTAATCTAAGTGTTGGGTTTTAGTTACCTGAGATTGTCAGTGCTGTTCTCTCCCTGAAGAAAGGAGTTGGCTTTATAGAACTATTATGATTATTGTTACATAATGGAGTTTTTATTATTGAAAAGAATATAAGTATTCCTCAATCAAATTGAACTTGATTGACATTAAAACTAATTTATTTAAATACTATTATTTATTGAAAAGGCTTATTTAGAACTACAATGAAAATTGAACAGCTGTGGTGTGGGCACTGCCTTTAAGCTTGTTCTGTGTCAACACAGAACTCGTTTCTACTTAAGCTTTCAAGAAGCCTTGAGCCAGCCTGTGTGTGATCTAAGGGAGCAGTGCTGCTTGTTCCACTCTGGGAAGGGAACAGGGGATGCACACCAGTTATAGCTCACATTGTGCTCCATGAAAGATCATTGCAGTAGAAAGACTTAATGAGCCTTTAATTTTGTATTGTGTCTTTTCTGGAAACAGCTTTGCTGTCTGCCATGCTGTGAAATGTCTAGCATTTATAAGGGAATAACGGTCATTATGATTTATTTCATTATTAACTATATTATTTTAAAGGAATTTTCTATTTTTAACATTGCTGGAGGATTGTTTGGAAAACTTGAATGTGGAGGATCCCTGATGCTATGGAAATTTGCTGATCAAGTTGCAGACTGGTTTTGCCAGCTCCCTGCCACTGTCCCTCTGTAAATTAGGCTGTGACCACTACCCTGGATTCTCAGTGTGTTTCACATGGATAGTGACACTCCTTTGTGTTTAGATCAACAGGCTGTAGCCTCACGTTAGAGCCTTTGGATTGAGTGGAAGAGCAATCCATGTGTAAGGTAAACCTTCGGAATGAACCTTTTCTATGCTGCTTTACTCCCACCTGCAGTTAAGTCTGCACAGTTGTGCTTCACACGTTATTTGTTCAGCCACTCACTACAAAGCCTGTACAGACTGGGAATAGACTAGGAATGCATAGTACAGCCTTTTTTTTTTTTTTTTTTTTTTTTACCTCCTACAGCGTCAACACAGTGACAGTGGTTAACAAAATAAAATGGGGAGGGTGGAAAATAGAACTGCCTCCAGGGACTTACCTTTACATAAGCTTCTTGACAGGCTGACAGAGCTGGGGTTGTTCAGCCTGGAAAAGAAAAGGCTCTGGAGAGACCTCACTGCAGCCTTCCAGTACCTGGAGGGGGATTATGAAAAGGAGTAAGATGGACTTTTTATACGGGCATGTAGTGACAGGACAAGGGGCAGTGAGAGAGGGCAGGCTGAGATTAGAAACAGGAAGAAACTCTTTGCTCTGAGGGTGGTGAGGCACTGGCACAGATTGCCCAGAGAAACTGTGGATGTCCCATCCCTGGGAATGTTCAATGTCAGGTTGGACAGGGCCCCGAACAACCTGCTCTAGTGAAAGGTGACTGCGCCCTCCGCAGGGGTTTCGAACTGGATGATCTTTAAAGTATCGTCCAATCCAAGACATTCTGGGACCGAGTGGGCTAATCCCGAGCTACAAGTAAGAACGCAGCCGGGGAGGCGCCAGCGGGGCCCGGCCTGTTCCTGGGCGGGACCGCCGCGAGGCGCCATGGCCGCGGGAAAAGAACTACAGCTCCCGTCGTGCCCCGCAAGCAGCGCGGCGGGAACAAGCTCCCCGCTGATTTGCTGTGCTTTCAGCTGCTCTCGCCAATCAGACGCACAGCTCGCGGGGGACGCTCTCCACGCGCATGAGGCGGGCTGGCGGCGTCCCGGGAGCAATGGAGCGGGACCGGGGAGAGGTGAGCGGGACCGGGGACGGGACGGGACAGGACGGGACAGGACGGGACGGGGGGTCCGCTGGTGCCCAGGATGGGCTGCTCCTGGAGGCGGCGGTGGGTCCGTCTGATCCCGGCGGGATGGGCCGGAATGCGTCCCCCTCAGCTTCCTGAGGAGTCTCCAGATGATGCTGCCCTTGCCTGGCAAGGTAACATGTCCGCAAGTTTCACTCACCTGTTGTGGAAGAGTAGTGGTGCAATGGTGCTCACGTCCTACGAGCTGGTGTAAGGTGCACCCACACAGGGATTAAAAGGCGATGAAAATATTTCTTTTTTAGAGGAGTTCAGGCCTTTCATACGTAAGGAATGCTGTCTGAGGGCCTGGATCCGCAGGAGAGCAACTTGTTGTTCAGCGAGCAACTTGGGAACCTTGGGTCTGTTTTGTGTGAAAGCCAGGGAGGGTAAAGCAGGGAGACAGCAGTGAGTGAAGTCTGATCTTTTTATCCACGTGTCTATAGTGAGGAGCTAGGGATCAGAGGGAATTTAGCACTGGAAGGTGATGGGCTTGCTGCTGATCTTTTGTTGTTGCCCACTTGGAGGAACAATTGTATCCTCCTGCCTCATGTAGCTGTTTGAATCTGCCTTTCTGTTCCATCACTTCCTGTCCTGATGTTGACTTCTTGCTGCTCCTTCATGAGTTGCTAACACATTTTCCCAGCTTCATTTGGGCTTATTTGGAGCCTGGCTCAAGATTCTTCTAGTCTGAGACACACTGTTTTTCTTTGCTCTTTCTTCAGTCTGGGCCTCACAGCTCTTCTTCTGTAACAGCAAGGACAAAGAGCTAGTGAAGATGTTTAGCTGTGGAGGCATCTGGTTTTAGGCAAAAACCTATAGCAAATGTTCTGCCATCCTGCTGGTGCAGTTTCTAAACCGAGGTCAGCTGTGGACTGTGAAGTTTCCAGAGGACATGAACTGTCTCCAGGACTGAGTTGGACCTGCTGACTTCCAGGCTGTGCTGGTCTTGTGAGCTGTGGTGGCGGGAATATGCAGCTTGTGCTCTGTTCTGGAAGTCTCATGGTGTCTGCACTTCTGTGCTGTGCAACTGTGTTGGGAGGAAAATTGCCTGGAAGGACACAGTCTCCTCTGTCCGTCATCAGCGTGACAGTGCTGTGCCCTGTATTTCTGCATGTTCCTCAAGCTGTTTTTTATCCAGCTACAGCCCTGTGGTATTTCCTCTTAGGAAGCAGCCTGCGGAATGCCAGTAACGGGACCTGTTTGGGGGAAGGCGTTCAGAGTCCTGCCTTTGGGGTTGTTATGTGGACTCTTTGCTCACTCTGAGGCCACTCCCTGGCCCAAGAAGGGCCAGGCCCTAGCAGCAAAGGCAGGTTTATTGTGCAGTGGAGTATAAAGTCTCTATTTTAAAGCAAACTGGCTCTCTTTGTAGTTGGTGTCTGCCTTCTGCCACAAAACTTCGTCTTTGGAGCGGGTGGAGGAGGAAGGCGATGACGATGAGGATGATGATGAATTGGACATCTTTGGGGGTTATGACAGCCTCACATGCTACAACAGCAGCATGGGCAGTGACAGCAGCTCCTGTCTGGAGGAGTCTAGCGATGATGAGGTGGCAGACCGGGAAGCTGGAGAACTTTCGACCTCTCCAATGCACCAGCCATCCACAGGCCGGCTCACAGAAGACAGTGGCTCCGAGCCAGGTACTGCCTGTGCACCCTGAAACATGTTTGGGGGCAGTGAAGGGTGTGTGGCTGCACCTGGGGATGCTTTGGGAGCAGCTTTGGATTCAGACTGCATTTTCTAGGCTATGTGGGTGATCTGCTCTGTATAATGACTGTTAGCTGGTCTCAGTTCTGTCCTTGTAGTGCATTGACTCTGCTCACACTTTTGACCTTCTTCCAGCTGTGTGCGAAATGTGTGGGATTGTGGGCACCAGGGAGGCTTTCTTCTCCAAGACCAAGCGTTTCTGCAGTGTCTCCTGCTCCAGAAGCTACTCCTCAAATTCCAAAAAGGCCAGCATCCTGGCCAGACTGCAAGTGAGTTAAAACCTTTCCATCTGGCTCTCAGGCTCCATTGTGCTTGCAGGCTGTTGTCATGCTGGGGGACTTCAACCACCTCTATACATGCAAAAAGTAGCATGGCAAGCTGTAGGTAATCCAGGAGACTCCTGGAATGCATGGGGGATCATTTCTTAAGCCTGGGAATAGACAGCTGTGGCAGAGGGAAGGCAACAGTAGATGTGATGGTCACCAAGGTAAATAAACTAATTGGGGATGTCAGGACTGGAATGGCTCCAGCTGCAGTGGTCATGCATTGGTGGAATTTGCAATCTTGAGGAATATAGGGCAGCTAAGGAGTGAAGTCACACTCCTGAACTGAAGGCAGCCTTCCATCTCTTCAGGGAGATTCTATAATTCTGTGAGCTTTCCTGCAGATGGAGCAGGATGTGCCTGCATGTAGGGGTAGGTGATTGCTTTCTAGTTAAATATAAGACTAACATTCCCAGTGGCTTCCAGCCTGACATCCCCAGAGAAGGCGTGACAGCTTAAAAGCGGTTCTGCCTAAAAACTGAAACAGGACACACTATTTCTTGTTTCTATGAGCATTAATAAATAATAATAAATATAATAAATATAATAAATAATAAATAATAAATAACCTGAAAATTGTCCCAAGGAAGGGATACATACCCTGTTGCAAGGGGTGACTTAGTCTCCTGTGCCATTAATGTTTCTAATGTTCCTTCTTTTGTAGGGGAAACCACCAACAAAGAAAGCTAAAGTTCTGCACAAGGCATCCTGGTCAGCCAAGATTGGGGCCTTCCTCCATTCGCAGGGCACGGGACAGCTGGCGGATGGGACACTGACCGGTCAGGATGGTGAGTGTAGGTGAGATGTGAGGAGGTGCAGCTGCTGGAGTCACAGAAATGGGGACACCTTGAGGGCTGAGAGCTCTGTAGTCCTCCTCCTCCTCCTTTCTGGAACACTGCCTTGTATGATGTGTGTGGATCGCTCTGACATAGGCTGGCAGAACACAGGGCACATGTTTTTTTTCCTCTTCCTGCCCATCCACTTATTGTAGCCTTATCCTCACTCCTCATACAACTTGACCTGGAGCATAAGCTCTGTGGTCCCAGTCCCACGAGGTGCTGGCTTCTGCTGGCAGAGGTGACTTAAAGGTGTCCTGCTTCTCCCAGCCATCCACTGCCCCACTGTTCATGGGGAGTTACATTTGCGCCAAGTCACTCACTGATAAACTTGATCATTAAACAGTGACTGCAGCTGAACTAGCAGCAATTTACTGTGTTAGGGAAAAGGGGAGTGCTGGGGCATGGCAGCAGCAGGGACTGATACCTGAGCAGACTGCTGCTGGAGCAGAGCTGTAGCCTTCACAGGAGTGACTGTGGGATTAATCTCTCAAATTAGTATTTCTGATTTTCCCAGCACCCTCTGGGAAAGCAAGTACTGCTGATATGACCCTGCAGTGTCGCTGCTGAGAGGCAAAGATGTGAAGTGGTTTAACCCTGAAAGGTTGCACTCTCCCTGGAGTGCTTTAGGCCTGGGCTGGACTTGACCCCTTTTATTGCCCTTTCTGCTCCCCCTTTCCAAAAGCAAGTGACAGAAAATACTGATTAATAATATATTTTGCCTCTTGTGGAGGTTAGTGACCATGCACTCACACAGGGTCTAGTTTCCCACCAGAAAAAATGCAGTGGAATGTGTAATCCCTGTGTGCTGTGTCCTAGTGCTTGGAGGCTGCAGGCTGTAGTCCAGAGGTAATTGATCTCTGTGCCTGTTCTGTGATCTCATCTGATTTTTCTGTTCTGATGTCTGCTTGTAGCACTCGTCCTGGGCTTTGACTGGGGAAAGTACCTGCAGGAGCACGGCTACAAGGCAGCTCCTGTCAGTTGCTTCAAACACGTGAGTCCTACTTTGCTGTGCATGGCAGGGTGCATGGGGCGTGTCACATGCATGGGGCCCCCCTGTGCTCCTGTGGCAGGTGGTGAGCAGGGGCCCAGCAGGGGGTTATTGAGATCCAGGTGATGCAAGGAAAGGACTTGGGGTTTCTTGCAGCTGAGAATGGGAGTCTCATAAAGGGTCCAGGAGCTGGAGGGAAGGAAACAGAAGGGGACTTGATAGAAACACTGTTGGTAGTGATGCCTAAGATTTTTAGCTTTTTATGTTTTTCATGTATTTGTAGCTTTGTAGATTGCTAAAGTATGGCTGTAGCTTCTAGTATTTTTCTTCCCTACATTTAGAAACAATAAGCTAACCTTAGAAACGTATTCAGATGTGTTTCAATACACATATTGTAGTCTTATTCCAAGAAGAGAACCAGCTACTAGGATGTTCTATTTTCCAACCAGAATCTGAAGCAGACATAACAAAACTGGGGCAAAAGAAACCTCTGGACTACTTCCAGTGGGTCAGAATCCCAGGAATTACTACCTTACCAACTAACATTTTAACTGGATGGTATATGATAAATGTACTAATTGACTAACCTTATAAAAAATGTAGAATTACTATACCACATGTGATTTTTGCCATATTGTGTACCTGAAAGCTTTCAAGTAAAGGTTGGCTTTTATATTCAATCTAATATTGTTGGGAAGATCTATTTTCCAGGCATCAGTAGCGCTGGCTCAGTGCTGACTGGGAACAAAATTAGTTCTGACTGAGGATGATAGTGGGAAGCTAATTTTGCAGTTTGTATGGCTGAGTACAAGCACAGTTTTGCAGTTTGTATGGCCTAGGGTGATGTGCAGAGAGAGGAATTCTGTTTATGTGAGCCTGGCAGTAGCTGCCCCTCCAGCATTTCCAATGTTTTTAAGACTTGATATATTCCTTTTGAGGCCTAATAATACTGACAGCATTTCATTTTTCTTGAGGATAAGTCAGGCAGACATGGCATTTTTATTGATCATTTGGTATTTTTATGCCATAGAGGAATGGCAGCAGCTACTTTGGAATAATAGGACATCTGGCAGTGAAACAGTAAAGTATTGCTATATGGTATTCTGCCTTTTGGGATCCTCAGTGAATATCCCAGTGAGATGTTTGGGACAGTTCAACTGTATTTTAAGATGTTGGCAGATCTAGGAGGGCTAAGGCGTGCAAGCTTGTGTCTAAGGTGAAAGTGTAGCTGCCTAAGACATGTCTCTGAAAGTTAGAAGGGCCTGAACCCTGCTGTGAATTCCACATCCCTCTCCCAACATGGCTGTCTCAATCTTTCAGGTGCCACTCTTCGATCAGTGGGATGATGTGGTGAAAGGTATGAAAGTGGAAGTGCTGAACAGCGATGCTGTGCTCCCCAGCCGCGTGTACTGGATTGCATCCGTCATCCAGATTGTAGGTAAATCTCCAAAGTAATCTTTGACAGCTGGGCACAGCTAAGCTCTGAGGGAAGCTTTAAAGAGCTGAGTGTAGATGGTCAAACAAAACAGCAGCTCTTTGGACAGCTGTTGAGAGATTTTGGAACAGGAAATACCATGGTGTGGGAGTGAAGGGAAACCAGCACATGGTTCCTCTTCTGGTTGCTGGGCAATTTGCAAGAAAAGTTGCCAGAGAAGTTCTGGTAACCTGTGCAGAGCTCTGAAGGCCATGTGGTGGGTACTAAGCCTGTGGTGCCAAATTCTTGGCCTCTGATGCCTTTGGCTGTCTGCTCTGTCCTGGCAGGATACAGGGCCCTTCTGCGATATGAAGGCTTTGAGAATGATGCTGGTCATGACTTCTGGTGCAATTTGGGCACAGTGGATATTCACCCCATTGGCTGGTGTGCCATCAACAGCAAAATCCTGGTACCACCACAAAGTGAGTGTGGGGCAAGAGGGGTCAGCATATGCCTGGGCATGGAAAAGCTTTGGTTTCTGCCTAACATGTGGGGACAGGTGCTCCCACTGCATGTAGGACTACAGTTCCATCTGTGCTTTGAGTTAAAAGCAGCAGTTTGAGTTTGGGAAGCTGGAGACCGCTTTGATTGCTCCCTCTGCATCCCCCTGTCATTGACCTGGGGATGCTGCATTCAGAGCTGATGTCAGACTTGTGGGGGCTAATGCAGGTGGCTTTTCTTCCTTCTAGCCCACATGGAGGCTGGACTTGAACTTTGGGGGAACTTTTTGGTCCTATATCCTGGGCAGCATCTCTGGTAAGTGCAGTGGCTCCAGTCCCTGCACAGCTAGCTGTTCAGAGAAGGATGCCAGTTTAGTGGAATTCTGGCAAGCTGAGATTTGCTTGGTATGGCTCATGGCTTTTGCTCTATTACCACTTCCTCATCTAGATCAGTGTAGTTGAATGTCTGCTTGGCCCAGTTCATTCTGTAATGGTGATCCCTTCAGCCAGATGTGGGGGAAAGCTGGCAAAACAGAGTACAGAATCTGAGTGTGAAGAAGGCATTTTTGTACTAATGGACTGGTAGAGAGATGAAAGGTGTGATGCTGTAATTATTTTGGTCATAAATATGGACTTTTTCCCTGCCCATATGTAGCTATCCATGCCAAGTACACTGACTGGAGAAGTTACCTCATGAAAAAACTGGTGGGAGCTAGGACCATCCCAGTGGATTTCCACATGAAGGTAAATGTGGGAGGCTGCCATTTCACATGGGGGAAATGAAGCTGAAGTCAAGACATGCTCAACGTGTCTCTTCTGGTTCTGGTCTGTGTGACTTTTGTGTGCCTTGAAACCTGGGCAGGGGCAGTGAGTGCTACCACATGCTCCTAAGAGAACTGTCATGATACTGTGTGTAATGGATGTCACAACCTCCATGCCCTCTCAGCACAACAGTCTCTGCTTTGCATCACAGCAGGCTTTAAAAGCTGTTGTCACATGGTCTGCTGGGAAATACTGGGGATGATGTTTGGCATTTTGCTGAAGGGAGAGGCCAGTGAAGCTCCAACCTGGCCTTTTCCTACCCTGCTTCAGTGCCAGGGAATAGCTCTGAGAGTCAAAAAACTTTGCCTTCAATGTTGGTAGCAAAGCAGCCTGCAGGGAGTGAGAAGGGCACAGGCTTCCTTTAAGTGCCATGGCCTTAGCATCTTTATAGCTCTCATGATTATTTTTGTGTAGCCTGCACTGAGCTTAGGTCTTGTTAGAGGGAAGAGGGTATTCTGTGGCTAGGAGCTTTGGAAATGGCAAATAAGGAAGACAGTCCCAGAGACAGCAGGCAGGAAAGCAGGTGATAGGCTTTTTTGTGTGCAAGGTAAGTGGTGACCCTGAGCTGGAGAGCTGGATGTAGCTAGTGATTCCCATGTTACTTCTCAGAAAGTTAAGAGTTAAGTTTGTATCTGCTTGTTCCTGGGCCCCAGCTTGTAGCTGGAAGGGAAGTGGTGAAGGGAAACAGACATTGCTTTGGTCTTACTCCCCTCAGCATCTCTGCTCCCACTTAATAAACAGGAGGTGGAACTATCTTGGGATCATAGTTCTAAAATGCCAGGGCTTCTATAAACACCATTGGGCATTTGTGGATGAGTAGGGCAAGGATGTATGAGCAAACCAAAGGTCTCAAAAAAAGTCAGAAAGCAGCCAATGACTCCACATACCTGTGCCTTTGGGTCAGTCTGCAGAGTAACTGGCTTTAGATGTGGAGTTGGCAGGTAGATCATCGTGTAGTTCAAACTCTGATCAGAATAAAAATGTGAAAAAAAGAACCCAACCTCTTTTGAAGTCAATCCTGTTGCCCTTTGGGAAGCTACAACTCTAACTAATTGCAGTCTTGAAATCCTTGTGATCTCTTTCATGACTGAAAAAGGCACACATAATGCCTTACTCAGTTCCTTGTGAACAGAAGTTCTCATTGGGAGCATTCACACAAGGTGGTGGCTGGGCATGGCTGCTGGCGGGGGGCAACTCTTAGGAGGCCACATGACATGACAAAAGGGAGACCCAGGCTGTGTGTGCTCAACTACACTGTCACCTAGGGCTGCCAGCTGTCTGTACTCCCAATGAACCCTCTCCTATGCATCCCTTCCTAGTCAGCTTTGGGCAGTGCCAGGATGCATGTCTGTGGGGGAGGTTGTTCTCTGAAGCGTTTGGAGAGCTGTGGTTGATCTCACCTTCTCTGTGGGTTGTTGCCAGATGGCAGAGAGCATGAAGTACCCATTCCGTCAGGGCATGCGGGTCGAGGTGGTGGATAAGAACCATGTGTCCCAGACACGTATGGCAGTGGTGGACACAGTGATTGGGGGCAGACTGAGACTCCTCTATGAGGATGGTGATAGTGATGATGACTTCTGGTGCCACATGTGGAGTCCCCTCATCCATCCTGTGGGCTGGTCACGGAGAGTGGGCCATGACATAAAGAAAACAGGTAAGGATCGGGCCACTGCAGTCGTCTTCTGATTTGCTGATAACTGCCTGCACCCTGCTTTGACACCAGTCTTGACATGCTGGGAGTGAGGCAATTGCCTCAAGACCTAACAGTTGAAGTCTGCTTAGTTTTGTGTCTCCTGTTTATTTATCTGGATAAAAGCCCTGTGATCACAGGTCAGAACAGGGGACTGTAGGGTTTCTTACCTGAAACAGGCAGTCTGTTCTGTTAGTGTGGGAATACAGACTTTGCAACATGACAGATGTTTATAGTCTTTTTGAGGAAATTCATGCAGGCTTCTGTAACACTGGATGCCATCAGGTTGTATTTTTCTGGACTTTACCAAGAGGAATTGCTGATTAGCTTACTCTGGCAAAGTAAAAGACAAAGTAAAAAGCACTGCTTGAGCTCTGCTGATTCTTTTGGTTGTGTCTCCATTCCTTGCTGCCTCTCCCTGGTGATAACATATGTGTGTAGAGGTTTTATCAGTAGAGCTCAGGAAGCTGAGCTATCTGCTTTTGAGCAAGCCCTTCATCACAGCCTATTTTATGAGAGGTGTAGAGGGACCTGTTCTTTTTATTAAATGGTCTCATATTGAGGCAGTTTATAACAGTTAAGCTCTCACAGGAAAATTAATAACCAGTCTATTTTCTAACTGCAGTTGCTGCAGGTTTTTTACTTCTCTGTTTCTTCATTTCCTCACAGAAGAAAAACGTAATGACATGGCAAACCATCCCACCTTCCGGAAGATTTACTGTGATGCTGTCCCCTATCTGTTTAAGAAGGTAGGACAAGTCTGCCTTTCTGTGGGGGTCACAAAGAGGGAAGCAGTGATAGCACTTCCTTGCTTGGGCATACATGTTGCCCAAACATACATGTGGGTTGTTGAGGGTTGGCTTTCTTATAGCTAAGGGCAGTAAGGTCTTTGGGGTGTCAAGGCTGTTGTTAAGCAGGACCAGGTCAAAGGAGAAAGCTAAAAGAATGAAAGGACAGTGATAGATTGAGGGACTCAATTGAAGGGCAAGCAAGGGAGCTTTGAGATGGAGAAGGAAAAGGATTGCATGGGAGAGACCAGTTCTGACAAGGAACTGGATCATGCTGGTAAGGACTGAGATGAGAAGGAGGCTTGCTTTGTTGTGGAGCAGCAGTTGGGCTTGGCTCTTTGACTGACCAGAGTCATGGTGAGGGGTTGCTGACACAAAAAAGTGTTGGTTTGGCTGCCTCTTTGTCTGTAAGAAAATATTATTAAAATATTTTTGCTTTCCCCTCCCAAGTTGAGCCAAGTGAAGAAGTTCTAATCCTATTTGCATTTGCTGTGCTTGGTGTCAGGATGGGACTGTCCCATACCCCTGGCAGCACACGGTACACCAGAGTCTCCCTTAGGTACGAGCGGTCTATTCTGAAGGCGGATGGTTTGAAAGAGGCATGAAACTGGAAGCCATTGACCCCCTGAATCTGGGCAACATCTGTGTGGCCACTGTTTGCAAGGTAAGTTCAGTGGGCGTAAGGGGATTGGCAGAGTTTGCTTGAGATAATGCAGCTTCTCCTCAGGTCTTTTCGAATTAATAAGACCAGGTAGGATTTTGCATGGGAGAGCAGAGAGGGCTGTCAAGAGAGGTAGACAGCTGTTGTGTGGAGGGAACTGGGGGGTTACCTCAAAGGTCTAACAAGCTGCTGTCCGTGTGTACTGAAATGGACAGCATGAAGATGAGCATGCTTGGTCTGCAAGCTAGTGCAGTGTGTGTGACTGGCAACCACCCTCTTTCTACCCTTGAGCATGCAGTAGGGAAGATTCGTTCTCCAGTTCTGAGTGCACAGAGAGACCCCTGTGGAAAGAAGGGAAGAGTTGTGGGGTGACCTCCATGTGGGGAATGGCATGAGGAAGCTGAGGATGGATGTGTCTCCTTCAGTTTCTTGATGAGGTGGTTGTAAGCTCTACTCTTGTGCTAGTGTAGAGAAGTAAATTCCTTGCCCATGTTTCCTCAGCGAGGTGTGTTGAACGTTGAAAGTATATCATCCATCTGGGCTTTTCCTGCTTCCTCAAAAAGCTGTTTGCCCACAGAGAACCCAAGCTGAGGACTTTGAGACCTGGAGTTTGGCAGTGGGATGCTAGGAGAGCTGTTTATGTTTAAAATGTTCCCTTCAGCCACTGATTGGAAATGGAAGAGTTTAGGACAGGCATGCCTACTGCCTTTGGTAGGCACTGATTGCCAGTGAGTGACAGGATAACACAAGTCTTGTTGCTATACAAGGTACCAATTCCAAGGATGGTGCTCCTTCCCTTCTATCCAGTAATAAATTCATGATCTTGCTGATGGAGAGGGTTTTTGGGCTGCCAGTAAAGTGTTTCTGGGGGAGAACAGAGCTTCTGACCATTTAAGGCTTTCACACAGTCCTTTCACAAGGCTCTTAGTGTTGTTCCCAGTCCTGCAGAAAGTGCTGCTTTGGGGATTATCTTGTGTTGACTAACATATTAGGAGAAGCTTGGGGCATATAACATTGCATTTTACTGTCTAGTGGCAATTGTGATTGATATTTGGGGACTCTTGAGAGAATCTTTTGCAAGGAGGAGAGGCTTTAGAGCAAGTAGAGCTCTACACTCATGCCTTCACTCCCATCTCAGGTTCTCTTGGATGGGTATCTCATGATCAGTATTGATGGAGCAACATCTGATGATGGCTCTGACTGGTTCTGCTATCATGCCTCCTCACATGCCATCTTCCCTGCCAACTTCTGTAAGAGGAACAACATTGAGCTGACCCCTCCAAAAGGTGAGATTTGGACTCTGCCCTGTGGTACAAACCTGCATGCAGAATCTGATGGGTGGTGCATTTCTGAGAAGGGTCAGGTTCAGATAAATCAAAACAAGATCCCAATCTCTTTGTTTTTCAGGGAGACAGGGCTCAGAGAGCCAGGCTGTTTGAGCTCTGTCCATATACCAAGTTTTAGTTAGCTCCTGGCAGATCAGTGGGAGAGGTGTATGATCCTCAAACTGAACGGAATAAAAGCTTTTAAAGGACAAGGAGGGTGGGAAGGGATAAGTAGAGCCATTGCTGCATGAGTCAGTACTTAAGTGTCCAGAGCTCTGTTCTTTTCTCTGTGAATAGATCTGACATGAGTATTTCTTCAGACTCCTAAGAAGACGATCACCCTAGGGGTGTTTTTGCTTCCTCATCTAGCCATACCCAAAACGGCCTGCTCTGAATTTCTGTGTTGCAGCATTTTTGTTCAGTGCTGTTTCATCCTCCTTTGGTATTCCTGTTGCTGGAAAAAGGAAAGATTTGGTTTAGTGGTGTGTTTTGAACATACTACGTCCTACTTGGTGCTGGTCCTTGCCTTTCTCTGTGGTCTGGGTCTATGGCTGACACAGATGTTCAGAGCTGCAACTTGCACTTTGCTGTATTTGCCTGCTGGAGAGGGGTGCTGGACTCCCATGGAATCCTTGCACTAGGTTCATGTCCCAGATCAGGCTGTATGTGCTGGTTCATTGACCTGCTCTGCAACCAGTTGCTGTGCCTCCTTACTGCCTATTCTGTCTTTTGTCCCAGCTGGTCAACCCAGTGATTGCCTTTTCACCTCTTGTTGTTTCTTCCTTCTGCAGGGCATGATGCAAAGACATTCAGCTGGGAACGTTACCTGGAAGAGACAAAATCAAGACCTGCTCCATCACGGCTCTTCAACACAGTGAGTGCTGCCAGGAAGAAATGATGTGTAGGGATGCTTGGAGCAAGCAAGGAGGAGTGCAAGAACTCTGGCTGTCACAAGATCACTGAGATGGAAGTGACGTCCAACACCTCTGCTATAGCAGGGTCACCTGTAGTAGGTTGCTCAGTACTGTGTCCAGATGGATGGAGACTCCACAACTATGTGGACAACCTGTGCCAGTTCTCATTGGCACTTATGGTAGAACGTGTCTCCTGATGTTCACAGGGAAACTCCTGTGTTTCAGTTTGTGCCTGTAAACTCTGGTCCAGGCACTGGGCACCACTGAGAGGAATCTGGCTCCATCTTTGCACCCTCATTTTAGACATTTATATACATAAATAATGTACCCCTGAGCCTTTTCTTCTCCAGGATGAAGTCACAACTTTCTCATACAAAAGATGCTCCAGTTCCCTCATCATCTTCCTGGCCCTTTGCTTGACTCTCTCCAATATATCCACATCTCTCTTGTACCAGGGAACAATTCAGGTGTGGCCTCATCAGTGCCAAGCAGAGGGGTTGATCAAGAGCAGTGCCATTAATCTGCTGAGAACAGGTTACCATTAGCCTTCTTTGTTCCAAGGGCACATCCCTGGCCCATGTTCAACTTCATGTCCACTGGGATTCCCAGGCCCTTTTCTGCCACACTGCTTTCCAGTTAGTCTGTCCCCAGCTTGTGCTGGTGCCTTGGGTTCTTCCTCCGCACGTATGGGATCCTACAATTTCTCCAGCTTGTCAAGGTGCCTCTGGAGGGCAGCACAACCATCTAGTATATTCTGTCTCTTTTACCAGTTTTCTACCACAACCAAGCTTGCTTGGTTTGACATGACACTGACATAACATGTCATCCAGATAATTAATGAAGATGTTGAATAGCATTGAATCCAGTGTTGACCCCTGGGGTAAACTGCTAATTACTAGCCTCCAACTAGATTTTGTGCCACTAATAACCATCCTCTGGGCTCAGTCACTCAGCCAGTTTTCAGTCTCTCTTGCTGTCTCTGCACCCAGCCTGTATAGTTCAATCATCTTTAAGAGGTTCTTATGGCAGACAGTGTCAAAAGCCTTCCTGAAGTCAGGATAGACAACATGCAGTACACACAATATATGTAGTCTCTGCTGGGCTGCAATTTGCTGATGGTCAGCACTTTAAGGAGAGCTTAAAGGCCTAGGAGTATGTGCTCTCCAAGTTAGGACATCGGTGTCCTGCCTTTGTGGGTCCCTCTGAGTATCACCTGAGATTCTGTAGTGTTTCTGTGAGCTCCAGGCTCCTGGTGGGCTCTGCATTGCTCATTGCCTGTGGATGTGTGGCTGGCATATTGGGTGGAGGGTGGGAGTTGCTTTACATCAGCAAAACTGCTGCAGTGCCTGGGCCTATGCTGATCTTTCTGATTTCCTAGGGGTATGTCATGTAATTGTTTGACTGTATGCTCCTGAACTGCTGCTGCCCCCACATCAGGATCTTGCTTCTAAAGGCTGGGCTGAGATTGACTGAGGACACGGTTGGATCTGTTTTTGGATCTATGGGCTTGTTGTCTTGTCTGCTTGCTTTAGGTGGGAGGCCAGCCTGTGTGAGAGTGGTGTTGGCCAGATATGGGTTTGGACTGAGTGCAGTGGCCTTAGCTTTTCTTTTTCCATGTTTCCATTTTTTATGCACCCAGGACTGTCCAAACCATGGCTTCAAGGCAGGCATGAAGGTGGAGGCAGTGGACCTGATGGAACCCCGGCTCATCTGTGTGGCCACAGTGAAGCGTGTAGTCCAGCGTCTCCTTAGCATCCATTTTGATGGCTGGGACAATGAGTATGACCAGTGGGTGGACTGCGAGTCTCCAGACATCTATCCTGTTGGGTGGTGTGAGCTGACAGGCTACCAGCTTCAACCACCAGTGGTTCCAGGTGAGTGAAGATTTTACTGTGGTTTCAAATGCTAGAGATAAAGATTTCCTTCCTCCTGCTCTGTGAGTGGCTCCTTTGATTTTTGGGCCTTGGAGGGAGAAGCAAATGGCTTCCTTGATTTGCAGTGGCTACCGTAAATCTTCCTCTGTTGCCATGTTCTAGGAGTTGGCAGAGGGAGGAGCCTGATGGGGAGAAAACAGCCTGAGTTTTGAGGTTGGCTCTGTTCCCCCACACCAACACAGAATTAATTACTCCTGAGGAAGCTGGGTAGAGTTCCAGGTGGTCCTATCCCTGCACAGCTCCCTTTTATTAAGCATATCTATAACCTTAGCCAGATAGCAGCAGGAGCTCGCCCCATGCTCCCTTTTCTTATCCGCTCTCCGACTCTGTCTGTAAAAGGTAAGAGCATCCTCTCAAGAGTTCGTTCCTTCCCTTGTCACTGGGAGGCCACTGCCTCACCTTTGCAGATGTTTTCCTTCTTGTCCCAAACTACAAATCTTGTTTCTTAACTGCCCCTACCAAGTCTGTACTGGGCCTCTCTCCCCTGTGCTGCCCCAGCCTGTCAGCCTGGGCCCTCACCTGGAAGCACAGACAGCAACTGCACTAGAGCCTTGCTTTCTCCTCAGCTGGTTGTCTTGGGAAGAGGGCTTTGGCTTGGGGGGACGGGTATATCTGTTTCTCGCTTATGTCACTTCATCCCAGTTACCTACTGGTTATGGGACTTGGCTTTCGTTTCCCTCTCGTCTCCATGACAGAGCCCACAACTCCAGCGAAGGCCAAGGAGGTGCCCAGGAAGAAGAAGAAACCCTATGGAAAGAAGAGTGAGTGATGTTTGATTAGTGCCCTCCCGCTCGCTCGCAGGCTGGGCCCAGTTAGAGGAACCCTGTCCATGTCCCATCAGAGCAGGAGAGAGAGGCCTTGTCTTGCTGTGGATGCCCTCAGCTGGCTGTGGGTTTGCCAATACAGCTTCATCCTTCTTACCTGTCCTGTTAGCTAAAGAGCAGTGAGCTGTGTGTGGGAAGGATCTGTTTTGCAGTCTGTTTTCTGTTGGCCGAGGTATATATGGCACTTGCTTCCAGGTGTGAGGTTGTGCTGCTTTCCCTACTGTGTCTGTGTTGGAGGGAGATGTTTGCTGCAGCTGGAGGGTAACTGGAGAGCAACTCTGCTTTGTGCTGAGGGAAAGAAGGCCTTAAGATGGCTGAAGACGCCAATATAAACCATTTTATTGTTTCATCTTGTCATTGTTGTTGTCATTGTTGCAGTAGCTGTGGCAAATCATGTAGACAGACAAGAAATTCCTTTCTAGGGGGTGGAGGGGAAAGGACTTCTAAAGAATATAAAGATTTTCAGCATAAATAAAAAGGTCAGTTAAAAACCAGAACCTTATGGTTACAATGCCTGTGCCTTGCAGCAAATATACTCATTGCCTAGGACTAGACCCAGACAGGTAAGCAGAGCTGACTCCACACTGATTCCAAGAGGACCTGCTCCTTGGAAGTTAATCACATGCTGAGGTGCCTTGCCTTGAATGAAGGAGATCATGAAGGAGCATATTTTGAGATGATGACTATAGATTTTTTTCTCCAGTAGGCTATTTCTGTTGTATAACCAGTTGGCAGCTAATGACCATGTAGCTTTCTGTTCAGTTGTGCTGGTCTCTGGCCTGTGGTTTCTCAGAGGAACAGGGTTGCTGATTTTCCAGAGGAAAAGAGACACTCTTTTGCTCATACTTTGTTATCCCTTTGTTAAGGAAAAAAGTTACCTGCCAAAGCCCGCAATGTCAAGCAGACTGTCAAGAAGCCTTCTGCCACGAATTCAAAAAGAGAAGCAAAAGCTGCCAGCCAGGCTTTGCCAGAACCAGCACCTGATGAGAGTAAGGGAATGAGTTACTCTACCCTGCAGCCACATCCACCTCTCCCAGTACACCCTCTTGGCCACTAAGTCATGGGTGCCCTCAGGCAGGAAAAGGCAGCAGCATGTCAAATGTCCTTCCCTACTCCTCCAGACCTCCAGAGACACTCCAGAGAGTAGAAGAAAGCATTTGCTTGCTTTTGCTGGAAAGGTTTGCCTCCCAAGAGAGTTCGGTGGAACCAGGACTGCTCAATATCTCAATGCTGCTAGTGCCTGCTGAGGGCCTGGCTGCTCTGCTGAGCAGTCTGGATATGTGAGGTCGGGGAGGAGAGACAAAGTGTCAGATGTTGCTGACATGATGAGGATGTGTCAGAGGTTGCTGTCACATCCCAATCCCCATAAGGGCTGTTTCAGCACGTGAACACAGCCTCTCGTGCTGTGGTGACCAGAAGACCAGCTGGCTTACCTGCCAACCCTAGTGGGTAGGGGGAAGGAGGGTGGGTGAGGTGCCTTGTGCACATGGGTATTAGAGAGTCATGAAGGTCCCTCTTGTTCATTTAAGTTCCCCTGTGTGAACCCAGACAGATTGAAAATGGACCACACCAGCTTTTCACCCCTTAGGAACTGTTCTTGGGAGCTAGCAGCTGAATGCTGCCAGGGTTTAGTCCCATCCTGATTGCTGCTGTGACTGTGATAGATTTGCAGTGGCATAACATAACAGGGCTGCCTGTAGTGAGGGACCCTCAGGAAGTGGGCTCACCCCAGGGCCTGGGGCATTTTGAGGACCTGTATGGACAGAGCTGGTTTGGAGATGCTGCAGGTAATACAATTCAACATGGGTTGATTGTATTTATTTACTTTTTCCTCTGTCTGTCTGTCTCTTGGTAGTCATTGCTGTGCGGGTGAAAGAAGAAACCATTGATCCTTCAGATGCAGAATTTGGAGAGACAGAGCTTCCTGTTCCCATCAACAGCATAAAGCAGGAGGACACAGACTGATCTGGAGCATTCCCCAGCCACCCACAGCGGTTTTACCTTGTGGCTCTTTAGGGAAGGTCCTGGCAAAGGGAAATGGGACCAAAAGGGCCTTCCTTTTGTAAAGCAGACCACCCTGCAGCATCACAGCTCTGCTTTCCTGGTGTGCAAGAAAATTTCCCCTAGATTTGTAATATTAAGCTCTGGGAAACAGCAGAAAGACTGCAGGCTTGCTGAGGAGCATGACCAGGGTGGCTGCTGTGGTTGTGCATGCCTGATTTTGAAGGCACCTTTTGGAGCAGGAGCTCAAAACAGGGAAAGAGGCTGCCAGGGCACAAAAGGCCAATTTGTGTTCTTGGCTGTGGCTGGAGATGACGAGCTGCTGTCCAGTGCAGGACGTATCAGGAAAGGAGCTGCCCCCGTAGGACTTCGGTGCTGTGCTCTCTGGTCTAAGCACTGCGAACCCCAAGAAAATCAGGACAGGAAGAGTGGAAAGAGGTGAAGAAACAAAAAGAGATGATGGTGCCTGCTGAAGAAGTGAGACCTTTTTCATAGAATCATAGAATGGTTTGGGTTGGAAAAGGACCTTAAGAATCTCAAGATCCTCATCTAGTTCCAATACCCCTGCTGTGGGCAGGGACACCTTCCACTAAACCAGGTTGCCCAGAAACCCATCCAGCCTGGCCTTGAACACTTCCAGGGATGAGGTATCCACAACTTCCCTGGGCATCCTGTTCCAGTGCATCATCACCCTCACAGTAAAGAGTTTTTTCCTAATACATAATCTAAAACTACTGTCTTTCAGTTCAAACCCATTCCTCCTTGTCCTGTCACTACTTGCTCTTGTAAATGGTCTTGTCCCTTCTTGCCTGTATGTTCTCTTCAGGTAGCAGGAGACTGCAGTTAGGTTACCTTGAAGCCTTCTCTTTTCCAGACTGAACAATCCCAATTCTGTCATCATTTCCTCATAGGAGAGGTGCTTCATCCTTTTAATCATTTTGGTGGCCTCCTCTGGACTTGCTCCAACAGGTCTATGTCCTTTTTGTGCAGAGGACCCCAGAGCTGGATGCAGAACTTCAGGTAGGGTCTCACCAGGGCAGAGGGGGAGAATCCCTTCCCTCACCCTGCTGGCCATGTTGCTTTTGACACTTACACTCATCTCTTGATGCTTGATTGGCTTTCTGGGCTGTGAGTACACATTGTTGGGTCATGTCCAGCCTCTCATGCACCTGTATCCTCAAGTCCTTGGCAGGACTGCTCTTGATCCCTTCATCCCCCAGCTTGTGTTGATACCAGGGATTGCCCCAACTCAGGTGCAGCACCTTGCACTTGGTCTTGTTAAGCCTCATGAAATTCCCATGTGTCCACTTTTGAGTCTGTTCAGATCCCTGTGTATGGCATCCCATCCTTCAGGTGAGTCAAGAGCAGCACTCAGCTTGGTGTTATCTGCAAACTTGCTGAGGGTGCACTTGGTCCCTTCATCTGTGTCATTAATGAGGACATTAAATAACACAATTGGTCCCAGTACAGACCCATTAGGGACACCACTGGTCACTGATGCCCATTGGGACTCTGAGCTGTTGATCTCTATCCTCTGAAGTTGACAATCCAACCAATTCCTAATCCACCAAACAGTCCACCCATGGAATCCATCACTCCAGTTTGAAGGGAGTAGTTGTGGGGGACTCTGTCAAAAGCTTTACAGAAGTCCCCCTGGCTCAAGAAGCTGACCTCCATGCATTGCAGGAGTCTCCTGGACTGCCTGCAACTTGCCTTGGTACTTTCCCAATAGATGTCAAGGTGGCTGAAGTCCCCCAACAGGACTGGAGTGTGTGAGCACGGTGCCTCCTGTAGCTGGGGCAAGAAGGCTTTGTCAATTGGCTCCACTTGGTCTGGCAGCTGTAGGAGACGCCAGCTGCAAGGTTCCTTTTGTTGCCTCAGTGTCTGATTTTTACCCACAGTCTTTCAACCTGCTCATGGCTGTTCTTCAGAGACAGCTCTTCACACTCAGTACACCTCTAGATTGTAGAGAGCAACCCCTCCACCTCTCCCTCCTTTCTGTCTCTTCTGAATAGCTCATGGCCATTGATAGTCACACTCCAGTCACACAATTTGTCCCACCAAGTTTCAGTAATGGCAGCAAGGTCATAACTTCAGCCTGGTGGCTTCCAGCCCCTCCTTTGGTTTGTTGCCCATGCTGCGTGCTTTGGTGTAAAGGCACCTTGGCCAGGCTGCTGGCTGCATCACCTGCCTAGTGGAACACCCCTTAATTCCTTTGAGATATTTCCCTGCTGGTATCCTTGTTGGCTTCTGTTACCTCTGGATTCCCTGGCTCACTTCTGTAAGACTCCAAGTGTGCTCCCCTGTGTCTGCTACCTCTAAAAGTCACTTGCAGAGAGACTTGCTAGCACCCTGTCCCTCTAACCTTTTCATACCATCCCACAGCTTGCCAGGGAAGAACCTGAAATTATCCCCCTCACGTCTGGTTTAATCAAGCAATTGGATTACCCACGAAGGAGTTTAGGAGGATTCACCACAACCATAAACACCTTCAGTGGTGGCTCTTTGGTGCTCACCTTAAGGGACAGTCAAGGAACACCTTTCACTGCACTGATTGATATGATCTACACCCCAGAGGAAGCCATGGGACTTTGGATTTCACCTGCACGGAGTTCCTTAGTTTAAAGCCCATCTCACCAAATTAGGCAGCTGCTGCCAAAAATTCTCTTACCCCTAATAGACAGGTGGATCCCATCCTTCTAACATGTTACAATCATTAAAGCACACCCACAGTAATTTTACAATCACTAAAGCACACACCATTGTCTCAAAAGCCAAAACCTCCGTGGCACCAGCCTCAAACCCAGATGTTCATCCACACTGTGTCTGTTTCTGCCTTTTCTTGCTTTTAAACCCGGAACTGCAGAGGACTTGGAGCATGGTTTGAGTTTTTAATTTTTTTAACAGTTGTACTGTAAATTTGATCTACAGTCGTACCCTGAAGCCCTGTGACCAACTTCAGGAAGAGGCCTAAGGCTTGCATATTGCTTTCCAGGCCACCAATACCCAGAGTTGGTCAAAACATACCTTTATCTGTAAATTTATCTTTTAAAGCCTTTTCAATTTAAGCAAACTGCTGGGGCCTGGGGTCCCAACCTATGCAGTCATGGGGAATAGGTTGAGCACATTGCTTATCATGGGATTACTTATGGATCACTGATCAAATTCTGCAGGAAATAAAAAGGCTTCCATGTGCATGTTTTAATTCTGAGGAACTGCTGGGAATCAAGGCAACATTTTCACTAATAATTTTTAAGCTTTCTAGCATAAGATTTGTGCCAGTGCAGGACCTTACTGGACGGTGCTGGTTGCAGTCCCACTCAGGGTTCTGCTATGATTTTGCAAGCTGGGAAAGTGCTCTCAAAAACAAAACCAACCTTGTGGATATCAACTTTTCCACGAGGCTGGAAAGAAGCCTTGGAAAGAGGCAGCAAGTATTTGGCTTCATTGTTTGCATCACCAAAGTATGCTGCAGACTCTATGGAATGTGCCTCTGTGTCCTACAAAACCAAACCCTGCATCTTTGACAAATCAGCATTGTTTTGGTTGGCACAGGCTCTCCTTTGCTCCTTGGGCTATACTCATGTCCCCATGGTGGGGACAAGTCTAGAAAAACTGCTCTAGCCAGACTGTAGATATGGCCCAGCACATGTCCTACACACCTTAAGAAACCCTACGCTCTGCTCTTACTGAAGCCTCTGGCTGGAGGTTTTCCCGACCTCTTTTTCTTGCTGGGCTTGCTTGCAGCCTTAGTCTTGTTAGGATTGTTTTCCCCAGCCTCGCCTTGTCCCCAGCCAGGACAAGTTTGGAAAGTGGTGGAAAGCTTCACCTTCAGTCCCTGGGCTTCTGCAGGGGACCCACAGGTGGCCCCTATGCGAAGGTTGAGTTTGTTGATCCACCTGGAAATGTGGCAGAAGATCAGGGAAAAGAATGAGGCAGGGCAAAAGGAAGGACAAAAGTCTGTGCCCATAAGTGAATAATCACTTCTAAGTAAGGCCAGGTCACCTGGGTGACCTCTGAATATCTGAAAATTTGCCCGCCCCAGCTTGTGGCTGCTTTCCCCACAGCCAGAAAGCCCAGGCAACTTCCATCCTTGCACATAGATGTGTGCTACATCTCACCACCACGGGAAAAGACCAAAAACAGCCAGTGTGCTGTGAGCTTGTGCCTTCAGCATGGGAGGTCCAGCTGTCCCCCAGGCAGATCCCTGGGGCTGTTCCCAGCTCGTGACACTCACCTATGCAGCGGAAGGAGCTGGCAGTCACAGTGGAAAGGCACATCCTGCAGGTTGAGGATCTCCAGCCCCGTGAAGTTGCTCATGTCAGGTATGTTACTCATTTTATTGCTCTCCAGGTAGAGGCTTCTGATCTTGGGACCAAGACCAGTGAAGGCATGGGGGGAAATCTGCAATGGAAGAAGGGAAAGTCAGGGGCATGCTGATCAAGGCAGGAGAGCAGATCTCTGCCCCTGCACTTCTGATCAACTTGGGGGACCTGACAACTTGTCCTGAATCTGGCAACCCCATGAAAAAGCTGCTTTAAAGAAGGGGTATTGTTAATTAATTCAAGCAGTTTCAATCATGTTTTGGAACTCATTAGACCCCTGTTCAGTCTTCTTAGAAAGAAGGTCATATGCAGGAGGTCTCAGAGTGATACGTGGGTGCTGTTAAGATACACAATTTTTATGAGGGTGCTGCTAACACCACTTCCTTGAGAGGATGGAAATACTTGGGTTAATAGCAGTGAAGAGTCCTGCAGGACAGCCTGTAATAAGAGAAAGAGAAATCTGGCCAGAGCTGGGGGAAGTAGGTGATTTAGGGAATGGTCTGGACCCCAGTGAAATTGGGTGTTTAAGGACTGGAGGGAGTAAGCTTCTTCCAGGGGAGCCAGTATTAAGGTTGAAGCAAGGCAATGCTATAGCTGAGCCTGAAGAGATCTGGCTTCCCAGCCAGGCTATGGAACATCTGAAGGCTTGGGAATTCAGGGATGTCTCTTTGGATTCCCCTATAGGAGCCTGTAATATGCCCTGTAATGCCACTGCCCCTTGGGAGTCCTGTAGTGCACTCACCCACTCCAGGCCCATGTTGTCCAGGTAGAGGTGTTGCAGGCTGGAGGCCACCGGCAGGAAAACACCATCCCCCATGTGCTTGATGGGGTTTCGGGACAGCTTCAACTCACTCAGGGCAGGCAGGCCCCGCAGGGCTGCTGTGGGCACCTCCGACAGGTGGTTTCCCTCCAGCTGCAGCTTTTCCAGCATCTTGGTGGGAGCCAAGGCAGCAGGGGCAATGTGCCTGATGGCATTCCCAGCTAGGTAGAGCCAGCGGAGCCCCCTGGCTCCAGCCAGGTCGCCCTCTGCCAGTTCCCCGATGGTGTTGTGCTGCAGATGGAGGGAGATGAGGTTGGGCAGAAGCCGGAAGGTGCCTGCAGGCACACGGGTGAAGGCGTTGTGGTCCAGGTTGAGGTAGGCCAGCTGTGGGGCCCCCTCAAAGGCAGCAGCTGCCAGGGTGGAGAGGTGGTTGTTGGTGAGGTACAGGTAGACCAGGCTCTCCAGCCCCCGGAGTGCCCCGGGGTGCAACGCCCTGATGCTGCACCTCTGCAGGTGGAGCGACACCAGCTCCTTCAGGCCAAG